AAGTGTCATTTACCTGTAAAACCAGTTATTTTATATAATTCCTTCATATACTGAAGAATTTACTTTGCGATTAAAATACTTTCTTCAAGTACTAAACCATTTAAAATATTAACTATATTTCCCTTTAAATATCTTAAAATCTATGTTAGCAGATTTACTGCCAGAAACTGTCAGGCATCATTGATGTAATTACTCATTTATAGTAAGATTTTAATGCTCTAATCTTCTATACTGATGTAAATCTCAATTGCACACCTGGTGTTTGCATACTCTCTTTGATGGGCTCTGTCACTTAAATGTCAGCATTTACTTCTCGTGAGTGCTTCTTAAGGATTTCCTGTGCTCCCAACGTGACTGACTTAGCACATAGATTATTTAATGTGCTTTGAGAACTGAAGATTACATGCCATACATAAAAGGTTTCTGTATTTATCTAGATGACAACAGCAACATCCTTTAAAAACCTGTTTTCTTTCCCTTTTTTTTTTTCTTTGTAGTACATAAAGAATAGAACAGACTAAAAACGTTCTAAAATACTTTCAAAACCATTCCATGATTCTCCTTTTACTGTGATAGAAAACCACTTAATGTATCAGCGGAAACTACTCTTAAAGCATAGATTTATTCTTGCCTTCCTTCTACCCTTTTCCTTTCTGGACATTTTACTTAATACTGTGCACTCAACTCTTGCCCATGCTGGCATAAATTGGTAGGTATAAGCCCTAATATTTCAGACTACTGTAAAACTTTGAGCATCAAACCAATGTTCCAGTAGGCTGGGCAGCACCAGTCCAGGCATCTTCCACACTTGCCAGAGAAGAGATCGGCCAAAGCTATTCCTACAGGTGACTCAAATGCAATCTCCGTGTTTGTAGACTAAAGTGTCTCAAACTCAAATCAAACTTCCCTTTTTTTTCCCCTCAGAAAGTCCAGAGGCTTCTGATAGAAATACTAAAGATGGACTGACTTAATCCAGTGCCAGCTTCGTAAAAACTTTTCAAGGAAGAACTTACCTAAGATTCAAATTTCCGTAATTTATACTAAACGCAGAAAGGCTTATTTTCACAAACTTTGTAAAAATTTTTAATTATAATAATCCTATACATGTTCAAACACTAATTCATTATCCTGAACTCATAATCTTTAACCTGAGTACTTTGAACAATTTATAGCCTTCCTTTTGCAAGTAAAGGGCATCAGGTAAATAATAATAAATAATAATCAGGTAAAACTCCACAGAGTTTACTTATTTTAATAAACCCTTTGCCATGAATTTTGCTTCAACAGCAATATAAATGTCAGCCACTGGACGAAAGAAATCCTATTTACAAAATTAAAACATTTGTTTTCATTAAATTTCATTTCTATTTTTATTTTCAGAAAGCTCTTGCTCTTTGATTAAAAATCTCTTTAATCCTGAGATCAAAACTACTATCATATCAAACTCTCTACAGCTGACTGTCATATAAAAAGCTTTTGAAATCTGGTATTTTTTCTTCTAGTTATTAACAACTTCATTCTTGCCAAAAAGTTGCTAAATAAGATCTTTTACTAGGTATTCAAAGATCTTAACAACTTCATAAGTATGATCCATGAGTGGGATTAAAGACTTCTTTATTCTACAAAGCAGTAATTCTCAATTCATAATTCACAAATTCTCTGAAATTATTCTGCAAAACCCCTGAAAAAAAATATTTGAATACAAGTCTCACTTTCTCATGCACGTAAGCAAACAAGAGAAGGAGAGAGGTGGCAGTTATTGAATTCTCAGTGTTAGGTTCATTTTGTTGGCACTGTAAATGAAGACAACTTTGACAAAATTGTACAAGACAATCCACTTTTTTCTCCTCCCCAAAAAACAGTTGACAAGTTCTTTTATTAAATACTGAGAATAACTCTTACAGTGGTTCTTCAAATTGTTGACATAAGCTACACCAGACTACACCAAGATCTGAGCTTTAGCAGCTCTGGCCTTTTCAGACTACAGTTCTGAAACCAGAACAACCACCTAGAAAATGCATGGTACTTGTTTTCTATTTAAAGAAATTTAAATAAGTTTCTTAGGGTATCTTAAGCAATTAAAAGTTTCATAGTAGAATTTCTATCCATTTACCCATATAAAAAGTGGATTGTAATATCAGAACTTAATTCCTTTTCCTTGAAGACCATCCTCTTTCAAACAGGTAGAGCATGACGTTTGATTTTCATCTTGTTTTATTGCACAGTAAGGCATGACAACATTGTAACTTCTAGTAGAGAAAGAGGAGAATAGTTCATCCTAATTTCCTTTTTAAAGCCTCTCACAAACAGAACATTGAGAAAAGGAATACTGCTTTTAGAATGGTCTTACTTTTTAGTGGCCCCTACACAGCACCATAGAGTTTAGACTTACATCAGATATACACAGAACTCCTTAGCAATATTCAAATGTTTTATACATGATAGTGCAAGGAAGGATTAGTTATGCTTAAATTTCCATGAGAATTGGAAGTGGGGGGGTGGAGGATGTAGAAGCTGGGAAGTAGATTTCCAATGCCATGCTGCTTTATTGCCTCAACAGGAGTAAGAAAGTAATACCTTCTTAATTATTTTGACATACTGAAGGCACATTCAGTAGCACAGAACCAAGCCATACTCCTAGCTATTTCCAGCAACCTGCAAACATTAATTTATTCTCACAAGCCTGAATACTGGATCTGTGACAGGAGAATATGAGGCTGGGGAATAAGCAACGGAAATAGAGCTCCACAAGCACACCGTTCACTGAAAGGTCTGTTGAACCAGAGAATGGCATTTCTAATAGTCTCTCCAAGACCCAGGAAAGCCCATCTGTTATTCTCAATGCTGAAAAAACCCTATTTCATCCTCAGCATACACTGATGCCAGATATTTCAATCTAGCAATATACAATGTACATCAGCCACCTACCTTAGAATATTTTTCTTCTAATTAAGCAGTATTTTAAGAGAAAAGTTTTTCAGTAGAGTGATGACTATACATCAATTTTTATTAACTTAAGTTTACTCAGAGCTACAGGCAAAGCTGGAGCTTCCTAACGGAACAGTTCATAGCTGCATTGCAAAATATTGTTAAAATCATTAATACAGAAACTGGAATAGACATTTTCCTTTCATTTACTCAGACAAACAAAACAGTACGTAATAGCAGGAACTCTTTTCTAATAACCTTAAAACATCTAAAAAACAACAGTTGTTTGTCTACACAGATTTGTCATTTTCAAGGTTCCTCATTAGTTGTTAAAGAGCCAGAGTGAGTTTAAGTCAAAAGGGAAAAAAGTTTTGAATCTAATTTCTAATGAGAAAGCAACAACTTCAGAGTAAGAGCATTTACAGAATTTGGGACAAAACTTATATTCTGCATTCTTCAAAGCATGTACTTAATGCAACAAAATCAAACAGTCTATTAAACGAAAGCAGTATAATTTATGTGTATGTGCATTTTTATGGTCTATGTAACAATAAAACTGCTACTTAATTGTACATAATTTCTCTTAAAATTATATATAAATCCTTCAACACATCAGGTAATTTTTAGCTACTACGTTTAATACCAGTCTTTTTTGTGTTTTCTTTAAGCTAAATCACAGTCTTGGTTATATATCTATAGCTCCACTAGCTCACATAATATGCACAAACAAGCAGAATCAAAATGTTTTTTAGCATGCACAAACGTACAACCATGTGTACCCATGGGGACAATGACACAGTCAGTTACATTCCTGAGCAATCCATAGAAGATTTGCATGCTTGGATTCTTAAATTTTAATTATGTCCTCAACAGCTATCTTAAGCATTCATTGAATGCATGTATTTTTAGTTTTCACGTAGTTTTCCAGATGTCAGTATTCAGGGAGAGAACAATGTATAAAGTCCCCAGGTCACTGTGGTTTCCTTCAGTTTCTGTAGCATCTTAAGAGTAGTCAGTAGATTGCAAAGTTCTAGAGGAAAGCTTATGAGCAGACATATTTTGACCAAAATTATTTTCCAGGAGAAGTCAATAATCTGATGAGAACAGATTGTATATACACTTCACATAAGAATCAAACACAGCCATTGCTTTCTTATTACTGAAACCTCTAGGGTAAATTATGACACAGTTCATCAAGAAAGTAAGGCTAAAATTTTAACCTGCGTGTTATTTGCCCAGATGGCCAGGTAAGACAGACAAGACCAGGAAGGGCATTGACCTATTGGAGCGAGTCCAGAGGAGGGTCACCAAGATGATTAAGGGGATGAAAGACTTCTTGTATTAGGAAAGGCTGGGAGAATTGGGATTGTTCAGCCTGGAAAAGAGAAGGCTTCAGGGTCACCTAACTGTGGCCTCCAGTACTTGAAGGAACCCTACAGGAAAGATGGAGAGGGACCTTTTACAAGGGCATGTAGTGACAGGACAAGGTAAAATGGTTTCAAACTGAAGGAGAGTAGGTTTAGATTAGATATGAAGAAGGAATTCTTTACCGTGAGGGTGGTGAGGCACTGCAACAGGCTGCCCAGAAAAGCTATGGATGCCCCATCCCTGGAAGTGTTCAAGGCCAATTTGGATGGGACTCGGAGTAACCTAGTCTAGTGAAAGCTGTACCTGTCCAAGCTGGGGGGGGTGAAACTAGATGATCTTTAAGGTCCCTTCCAACTCAAACCATTCAATGATTCTATGATCTAATCCATCCAGAATCTTGATTCAAAAATACCTCCTATCAGCTTTTGTAAACCTTGTTAACTTACCTGTGTAATTACACATTGTTTCAGTTATGTTGGTTGACTGAAGCAGACTTGGTGTGGCAAAAAATTATATGACTTAATCCTCATTTCTGTGGCACGCACACTATTCTCCAAGTTCAGAAGTTCTGTGTGGTTGGGGTTTTATTTGAAATCATAACTGCATTTTTTATTTTTTTAAACACAAGCATTAAAACGATCTTAATGAGAATTTTAAAAAACAACAGGCACATGCAACATAAATACAGAAAGTAACATACTTACAGCTTCAAATGATAAGTTAACGTGTTCCAGGAATTTCTGCATTAAACTTTCAGTTAGTTCGTTGAACCGATACCGGAAGAGATCCATTTCTTGTTGAAGAAACCAACGCCTGAGATCCTCACTGCAAAGGAATAACGAAAAAAAAAAAAGCATAATACCTTTTCTGAATATGCATTCTCTCTTTCCTTACAAAAAAGACCTCAAACCTAGTGAATACAGCATTAATTGTAATGTTGACTTTGGGATGTAACCCATGAACTAGAGAGTTTGGGAGTGAAGGCAGGAAATCCTCAGTAATGCACACTCAATCAGAGAAGACTTCTGAAGAGACAATACACAAAGAAGTATGTTTTGGAAGAACAGAGGTAGTCAGTCTCAACACTGAAAATTGCTCTGTAGGTATGAAAGCTGTCAGTCTCCTAAATGGTACTCATTTCATACTTGTTTTGGATAAGAATATTCAATCGTAGATGCATTCTCCCTCGGTATTTAAAGAAACTTTTTTTTTCCACAACATGGAATTTCTTCATTGTACAATTAATGTCACAATTGATCTGATGAGGCAAATACATTTTGAAGGCTACTTCTTTTAACTCTCACTTTTAGGGTATCTCCAGCTGAAGGAACACACACACATCTCAGATACTATGACAATAGCGTTCACTATTCTAGGCAACAAATAGCCTGGAAACAGGTAAAAGGAAAATATATGGCAATAAACTTGGGTTTAGCAGCTGGTGGTGATCAAGTAGGAGAACAAATAAGAACACAGGGACAGGAGTCCGTAGACAGTATAAAACAACAGTAAGTCTCCAAGTACTCTAAGCTTTCATAATAACTCTTTACATCCCAGTGCTCAGATTCCCAGGCATCAGCACACTTCTCAGAGCTATAGTAGATAGGTACCAAAATGCCAGTAACAAAAGCCACTCTGTATGTACAAGCAGAGAATGAAGATGATGCTGTACCTCTCCACCACAGGGCACTCTCCTAAACTGTCCTCCAAGATCTACCACTGGGACACTGCCATGGCAATTCACAGAGTAGAGAAATACTGCAGTCTTACACGTTCTCCTTAGACTATCTAAACACCTTTTTCCATTGGGAACACATGAATCACAACAAAGTCGTTTGTGCTGTTGCAGACAATACCTCTGCTTGAAATACAGCTCGAAAAAAAGTAATCATTATTCAAAGTAATTCCAGATGGAAAAGCTCTGTTTCAGAGTATAAAATGTATAAACCTGTGGACAGTTTCAGTGCTTGGGACATACTAATAATAATCTGTGCAACTTAAAATGGAAGTTAATGTCTTAATGAGTGATCTGTTGCAGTTCTTCTATGGTCATCTTGGACAGTAACAAAATCCTAGGATGTGACAATTTTACTCTTTTCCTAGTCCATCAACTTCACACTGCATTTGTTTTCCTAAGTGGGAAAACAAACAAATGAAATATCAACACACACACTATGAAAAACAAATCACAAACACAATTATTTATAGTCACTTTGGAGGCCAGCCAGTCTGTTGTTCTTCCTTTCCTTCAGGAAAGCAGATCAAAGGCTGTAATCCCACCTACATACTGAAGTTACCAAAACAGGAAAATATTACTGTTATGTCTAATACACACGCCTATCTGGATTCTTCCTACAGCTGACGAGCTGACTTTATGCTGCTGTGCATGTCCCAAGCATACACTTTAAAACTGACTTTCCTAGGATCATCATCACTGGAATATTATTTACTTTCATTTCTAAAGACAAATCATATCTTATCCTCATTATTCACGTGTAAAAAACTGTACACTCTCACTTCAGATACATATTAGTATTAATACTTACTATCAAAACCCCAAGTTTAACTGAAAAGCAATGTCACTGTCATTAGACTAACCAAGCTGCTGCTGCACATGAGGGAGCTGCAGGTCATTGAAGTGTAGACATAAAGGATATCTCTTTGGGTTTTGCCACTTAACTTCCTGTTGTGCAGATTACTCAACAACTGAGTTAAAACCAGCTCACAGATTCCCAGCTCTAAAAATAATATAAAAGAACAGGCTCTTTTGCATAGGAAACAGCACTTGAGAGGGTGGGATTGGAATGGAAATACTCTTTAACCCTCAGAGAAGGATAGGAAAAAAGAGCATATTTGTTGGGAAGCATTAACATAGAAGTACTTTAAGAAAGGCATGCAAATGTTCATAAATCTGGAACTTAAGATTAATAGCTCACAGTCCACAATAACACCAGAGCTGAGTTATCAACCACTGAATACTGACTTGGGAAAACCCTGGGCATGGGCCAGATCACTGTTTTATTAGGCAAACAACACCAGAGGATTCCTCAGAGTTTAAGTTCCAAAAAGTGACAGCAAGGGCATCATGGGTACAGAAAACACACAAAAGTAAACGCTGCTCAACACAAGAGGTAGGAATCTAAGCACACAAGTCTAATTTATCATATAAAAAAAAACCCGCAGTAAGTAGTGAAAAGGCCCTGCTAAGTTGGAAAAAGCACTTATGTCCTTGTTATGAAACACAGACCAAATCAAATTAAAAAAAAAAGGCATAAAAGTATGTTTGATAGTTTTCTGAATCAAAAAGTTTTGTTGTCAGAGCAGAGGCAAAATTTATTTATTCCATCTTAAGAAAGGAAAGGGAAGATTATGCTCCAGTGAATTACAAGGTTCTTCACGGTCAATTTGCTAAAGTGAAGAGAGATGCAACATACAGAAGCAAAAATGTAGTCATGTCCAACATGCAAATAAAATTGTCTTTAGATATGCATCTGTCATGAAAACAAATGATACAAGACTATTCTACTTCCTGGTCCTGAGAGATATAAGTGACATTACCAGATGTGTTCTATTCAGACTGTACACAGCCTATCTTATAGGGAATAAGCTTTACAGTCTTGGATTTGAGAAGGCAGAAGAAAGAAAGGGATAATGACTACGTTACAAATTTAACTGACCAGAATGTAAAAACCAAACCAAAATAATTCAATTTATAAGTGAGGACAGATACAGACTAGAAAAAAAAAATCGACGTAAATTCATACCCCTGGGTGGCACTGTTGGCCAACTGGAAACCGAAAAAGACCCTATTCAGGAAAAGGAGCCTGTAAACACAGGAACTGAATTCAACCTAGTTTGCAGCTATGTCTATGTAAGCACACTTTTTCAATCACTCTTACATTAACAGCCCTCATCAATTAACCTAATGATTTGTGCCAAGCTTATTTTTCTGACCTAGTATGACAAAAACTTGCAGCATAATATATTCTATTTGCCTTCTAACTTTATCTTCTGGTGAACGTGCCAGTTTTAGACTAGAGAAATATCTCATCCCTAAATATTTGCTTTTTGAGAGAGAATAAAGAATGCTGGGTACAGGGTCACCTCATGGTGCTTAAGTCACTATTTTCCATTTTAGGAGTAACCACTAAATCCACCTTTTCAAAGAAACAGCAAAAGTGGAAACTGACTACAAGCTGCTTTATTGATATGGACCATCAACCAACTGCATATAAGCTGGAACACAAAAAGTTGTTTAAAGAGTGCTCCAGAGCTCCATCCATGGCATCTCCTCCCTCTAAAGGGGTCTTTCCCCCTAGACTATAAAGCCAGACTCTTTCCTGCTGATTCTGTGGCCCAAAATAGACTGTAATCACTTCTGCATAGTGACTCACCTTCAGAAAGCTGCCCACCTCTGTCCTGCTTACAGCCTAATTTTTAAAATACTTCCCTGAAACACAGGGTTTGAACAGTGTCTCCCATAAAGCCATTATAGATAAGTAGGCCAGGAGGGTAAAAATATCACACCACTGACAAGGGTAAACGTTTAGCCAAGTCCCTGTTGGGATACTTCTGATTGAGGTAGCCTTTCAGGCAGCTAACTAGCCACTGTCATTCACATGCCTTCCTCCCTGCTCAGCACAGAGGACAAAGCCCAGTAAATTCCATGCCTGAGCCTAATACCCAATCTTCAGGCTTTTGCTAGGTGGCCTTCTGTGAATCTGACCCAAACTCATTTTTCCTGAAGTTGCAGACTGACCCAAAAATAGATACCTCTTGAATTCTAGATCAGATTCTTGCCACCAGAAAATTCTCCATAAGAGCAGAATTTTTTTCAAATGTGTCATTACCAAAACTCTCAAAGCATCTAATCTCCCACTGAAAAGTAATGGTCTAAATAAGATAAATAATAACTGTTTAAAGTAAAGATTTACAAGGGAGCATAATGGAAGCCAAACTACCTATTCAAAATGCCACCAGCTGCATAATACAAAACATTACATTTTCAAGGGCCTTTTAGTACTCAGCCTACTTAAGGATACTATCTTTCAGAGGGTTTTGGTAAACTTACAACATAGGTAAAGCAAGATAATTTCTTGCAGGACCAGTATGACTAAGGGAGTTTATAAAAGTACACACAACAGACACAGGCACTAGAAAGAAACCAGTATTACATTTTTTTTGTTATTCACAGTCACAAATTATACATGTAGAATACAGAAGGGTAGAAGGACTTTCAGTCGTAATTCTGTTATTTAACTTGCTCCCCTCTTTCAGGATTTCAAGCTAGGCTATCAGAGTCAATGCAGTGAAGGCTGGTATTGATCTTCATATCCCCAGCCTGTTCCTCATGGTACCTGCATCACAGATCTAGCTGGTTCATCGATCACATACATCGACAAACTGTCTTCAGCACAGCCCAGATGCCTTTTGACAGGATAACATGATGGCATGTAAATGATCCAGAAGATTTCAGGGTGTTTAAAAGTCAACCAGGGCCTGTCATGGTGAGGGTTTGAGGCCTCTGCTACTTCCTATTCTGATCAGATGTTCTAGAGCAGGAACCCAAACCCATTTCAAAGACAAGGCTCAGTCACTTCAGCTCCATATTTTGGTTTAGACCACATTCCCACAATCACTTCTGGTCACCTTTCTGGTCTGTTTTTTGCTGACAAATCTGTATCCAACCATAGCAGCACCTCAGTCACATCACATCACCTATCACTATAATATGTATTCTACCACATTCACCTAATTTAAATAAACTATATTGCAACTTAAAGTGCAATTGAATTAACAATTCAAAGCAGTACTCACTTCATATTTGCCACGTTTAATTTTAAGAAAGATGCAACGAGAAAGAGTCAGGAGTTCACATTAATGTATAACAAAGCTGCTAGCAGACATAAAGCACTGACAGCCTTTAAAATTCAATCCAAAAACTACAGGAGAAGTAAAAAGAATGTACTTTACTTTTTGCTTGAGATCTCACACCACAAAAAAATTGCATTGCAACCATCCACAGCAATGAATTTGGACAAAAAGCAGAGTCAGTAGAGGAAACCTCAAACTCAGATGATATTTTTAGTTTGGCAGAAGCAAGGCTTTCTGTACAATAATATAAAGCCTATTTACACAGTCAGGTTTTTGGTCAGTTATCAATAGTTTTAGCATATACAGCAGCTAAATTATATTATTAATCACTGCAAATGCCTAACAAACACTTAACAGCTGATGTGCTTTCATCTCAAAAAAAGATATGAAGAAACTTAAATCAATGCTCTATGTATAAAAGCCAAAAGTTTTCTTTTTTTAATTATTACAAATCCAAATACTAATTTTGATCCCATGTATCCCTTTTCATCACAGCTGAAATCAGGTTCCTAGTAAAAAAACTCTGTTTGAGCATATCTTTCTATTTAGTAGCCATGCAACTCCAAAGTATCTGTAATGTCTATAATAAAGCATTGTAGTATCTGTATACATTTAAAATTAATAATGAGTACACCATAATCCAAAAAGTACTTACGACTGGCAGTAAGCAAGGCGTAGTATGAAATGAGAGATATGATCTTTTCTTCTTGCCTCATAATCATCCTCAGCCAAAGCCTACAGAAGATAATTGTTATTATTTTAGAGAAATAATTTCTCCCAGATTAAAAATTCACAATTAATTTACCATTGCTGTTCAACATTGTCTAAACTCATCTTTTAGGCAATAAATGCAAACTATTAAGGAAGGAGGTAACCCTAAAGAAAGAAATATATATCCTAAAAGGAAAACTACATCTCTGACAAAATGACAGCACTTCAGTTTTAGAAATAGCATTTCATCACCTCTACTTTTATTCATAATTATGGAATGGTGTAAAGAAAATACAGTGCGAGAGAGTTACATGTTCCGATTTTTACTTACTTTGTAGGGAAACTTAAGTTTCCGGAGCTCATTCTCCAGCTTAGATTTGTACGAATCAGTATTTCTTACATAGCTCACGCCAAGGTTTTCAACTACTTTGAGCACTGGGCAAAAAAAGAAAAGGTCCGTGTTAGAGAGAATATGTTGAAAAGAAATCTAAATGTATCACAGCTTGGGAAAGGCACAAACTAGGGTAAGGCCACAGGAATTGCTTTTAGCGGTACGAGAGCAAAAGGATGAGAAATGTGGAGGACAAAGTGTGGCCCACGAGTCCTTAACAGCTGTCCCAACTCCGGGATCCATAGAATCAACAAGGAAAGGGAGTCAGCTAACTCATGAATCACTCTCAGAACATCGGCTTCCACCGTAACGACAGACACCTTGGATCCCGCAGTTTTCAGGAATTCATGGGAATCCTGGCTTCCACCTGAATCCTGAGAGACATCAAGTATGTGCCAACATCCATAGACAGTGAAACGTGGTTATAAAAACCACCAATGTAAACCAAAACTACACGGTCCCGACAGCTACAGCGAACGCTCACAGTGATATCTGCCTCAGCTCCCTGGAATGCCCAGAGCAGCGCGTTTCCCTTCAGCCGGGGCTCCTGCCAACACGAGCAGCACAGCTCGGGATCACACCGGGCAAAGGGAGCGCCCGGGCCCGCCAAAAACACGCACGGCCTGACAGCAACGGTGAAAGGCATCGAGGGAGGGCAGGGAGGAGAAGGGAGAGAGGGAGGGAAGGAGGGAGAGACGCTACTCACGCCTCAGGCGGTCGATGGCAAAGCTCTCGAACTCCACCAGCGAGATGCTTTCCGTGGGGGGCTCCAGGTAGAACTGCAGGCTGTGAGGGTACAGCTCCCGCCGGTCCCCAGCCAGACGCAAATGCTTCTGCCTCGCTCGGCTGGAGAACTCCATCTCCACCGCCCCGGAGCTGCCTCCGACCGCGTCCCGTCCCGTCCCGTCCCGCCCGACCCCGCCCGCCGGGACACAGCGGGAACACCGACCCGAGCCCGGCCCGCGCCCCGGCTTCCCGCGCTCCGCCGGCCCCGCCCACTTCCGCGACGAGCCCTGTCTCCCGCGCTGCCATTGGCCGGCGGCTGCGAGGGGGCGGGGCCCCGGCGTCAGGTGCCCCCCCCGTCATGGCGGCTCCGGGCACGGGGGCGGAGCTTCACTACAAGGTGCCCACACTCGGCATGGCGGCTTTCCCTGTGGGGGTGTCCTGCGCTCCTCTACAGTTGTACATTTTCCCACGATACTGCAAGATTTGCTGTTTCTGCTGCCGCGTTAACCATTTTGCTGCAGCTGAGGTTATGTCATGTTTTATGTCCCTGCCACAAAATGCCACTTACTCGCTGATTTTTTTTCCCCTACCCGAAAAATTGGCTAATGGTCTTGCAACCAATTCAGAGCGTAAAGGGGTGGCAAACCAGAGCTGACATACCGTTTGTGCTCACAAAACGAAGTGAGGAAAATCAGTAGCTTATGCTGGCAAGTTGTTAAGAGCAATGAAATGATCCTGGACCAGGACACACACTGCTCTCGTGTTCGTGGGCAACACCCGAGACATTCCCAAATAACCCGACTGCAGCTTTAGCAAACACTCGGACTGGCAGCGAGCCTGGAGCTGCAGCCTGCCTCTGTACTAGCAGATTAAACACGGTGCTGAGCTCGGCTGATGCGGGATAATCCACTCCATCCTTCAAAACAAGGCGGCCACATCCACATCGCCTACAGAGGACACTGATGGGCTCGTGGTAATCCTCAGACTGTGAAGTGTGCTCTTCGGTCCGAGCCAAACTCTGCCAAGGGGCCATGGGAACATTTTAACAGGATAGAAAGTCAAGCTTCAATCTCCAGGACTGCTCTGTAGTTTCCCAGGGAAAAAAAAAACAACACATGCTATTGATATATTTTGATATAGTGATAATTATGTAATATATTTAACCCAAAGCAAGTTCATATCTTTATATGTATATATGTGTATAAATCAACTTTAATGCAAAGCAACATTTTTTTCAAATAGACACTACTCATCCCACAGAGTTTCTTGCCTTCTACACCTGGCTGCAACATGAGTTGCTCGGGAACAGGAGTCCATCTGCCAAAATCCACCTAGTATTTGCCAAAAATCAGCTTTTGCCCTTGACCAGTGTGTTAATATCCAGAGACTGGCAGTGCTCTATCCAGGGAAGGGCAGGCCAAGCAGTTTGGTCAGAGTTCCCACATTTGTTTGGACTGCTGTACCCGGCCTGAACTGGAGGGGGAGAAGTGTGACAGTGCTGAAGAGTACAGCAGAAAACAGCAATGCTTTTCATTTTAATTTAATTTCCGTTCATGTTTTAGGGTTTGGCACGTAAACAGCACCACACCTTTTGAAATCATGGTATGCAGTTTGCTGGCCATCACTATTTCTACTGAACCATGTCCTGCTGATTTTTAACAGCTCAGCAGCTATGTCTACACCTGCTATTTTACTTCTGTTTTTTTCCTTTATTGCTGAATATTGTCTCAAATTGTCTGTAATTAGGTGAAGATCTACCCTGTTTGGTTCTTTTGAATTTCACTTAACTAGTAACACTAAGAGTATTGCAAAAAAGTCATAAGATTACTTCAGCAGAAATTAAGAATCTATATTGCTAGACTTAAATACTATATTACTGGAATTAAATAAATCTTACAATGCAAGACCTTATCCTTTCACACACACAAAAAATACTGGGAAAAGAAAATAGAAAAAAAAGTAAAAATTTATCACCTTGATAAAACTCTCCTAATTTCACGCCTCAAACCTTCTTATTGATGCATCTATTGAGACCTACAGATGGTAATACTTCTCACTATAGCATTTTGGTTACTTTTTTTTTTTTTTAAGAATATTTTTAGCACTCCCACAGTAACCAGTAGGGTCTGATTTTTTAAGTATTTTAAAGAGAATTATTGATGTTGCAAAAACCCACCTCACAAATGTTTTACAACAACATCCATATGGTCACCTGTCAAACTGTCCCAATCATCCTATCCAAACACAGTCCAATTTAGCACTTAATTAACACACTGTTAGGAGGAAAGGGTTAAAAGTGGAAGAATGAGGAGGAGGATGGTAGATTTGCTCAAGTGACCTTGAAGCTGGGAATGCCAAAGCTTGGAGAATAACAGTGTGAGAAACTCCGTATATTGCGCCTACTGCTGTTTATTCTCTGTCTGTTTTGAGAAGATTTCTGTGTAGAGATAACGTAGGTGTTTTGAGAGACTTGGAGGCAGTCTCATGGACACGTTTGATCTCCCTGTTTCAGGAGAGAGAAGATTAAAGCTCAAAGGTCATAAAAAAGCTCAGGGGAGATCACAGCATGATGGTAAACTATGCGTGTGTGGGCCCTTGACAAACTGGGGCAAACAGCAATCATGACGCCCTCCAGCATGGACTGAGCTGTGATCCTCCCGTTAGCAAGGTAATGAAATAAATTTGCTCTTTTCATTTCAGCCATGGTTTTGTGGTTGTTCCAGCAGCGTGCCTGTGTTCACATGCAAAATCATTATTGGCATTAAATGTATATCATTGCACAGTTGCTACTCTCACTTTTGTTATATTTTTTTGTTATATATTTGTTATATTCACTCGCAGTGTCCAGTGCTAATCTGTCAGAGCCCAGTTGTTCTCTATTTGCATAACTACATCTGCTAATAAAAGGGTAAGATGCTGGTACCTAGTCTCTCAAGCTGTCCCCTTCATCCATCATGTCTGGGATGTTTGGATATCTATGGATAGCAGAGATGAGCACAAAATGTCCCTTCTCTGCTTCTGGCTCACTTCAGCTCTTGCTGTTACTTGACAATCCTATTTACTACCTGACAGAATTCTTATGTAATTGTGTCTTTAGATATACTGTCTTCATGACTTGCGTTTTTTGATGTTTTCACCTCTTAAAATATTCTTCTTGAATAATTGCTTTAACTTTTGTTTATTCAAAATATTTATTTACATACTTCCCCTCTATTAACTCTATTCCTTTACTGATCAGACTTCTTCAGAAATCTTAACAAGTTTACACTTTTCTTTTAGTGCATTTATGTTATTTCTAGCACAACTTTTCTTTCCTTTTTTCTGTTTTGTGGTTCCCCATGCTTTTTATTACTTCTTTAAATGTTTGACATCTGGATTATACCGAGATTTCTTTTCTGACCATGATGCACAGGTACCTCTGTACTTACTATAAATAGCAGGGTAAATGTTCTGAGCTGGCCTTTAAATTCCTGCAGGCTCTGAAGTGAGTAAAGCATGAATCATTCAGTGAAGAGAGGTTCAAGGGCTACTTTAATTGGAATACACTCTCAATGTTAATTTATTTAAGTGGGGAAGAACAATGGTCACATCCCTTGTGACACTCTAAATCTCTCTTGCTCCACTTACACAGGACTTTTGAATCCTGGATGTATTCCCCAAATCCCCTGTCCAAGACCCTGGTGCAGAGACAGAGAAAATCTAGATATATCTTCACAACCTTCTTAGATTTATCTGACAGGTAGATCTCACACTGAATGTTCAAATACCCAGTCACTGCGTAAAACAACCTGCAAAATTCCAACCTAATAGTAAGTAGCCAGCCACCTTCCAGTTGCTAATAAATCTCTGCGTTAGACTTCTCTGAGCACTTACACCATTACAAGTGAAAAGCCCCAATATAAACATCAGGGTGATATCCAATATGCCTTATCTAGACACTAAACCTACACCTACCTTTTAAGCTCTTCTTTTAAAGGGAATAGTTTCCCATGGAATACTTGAAAAGAGGTAGGTATCCTGCTGGCCTCCGAAAGGACATCTAGCCTGCCTAAATTTAGATGTATAGGTAGCTGATTTGTTTTCCCTTTGTTTACCTCAAGTTTGTTTGGGGTTTGTGGTCTTTTTCAAATGCAAGTGATGCTTAGAAGTGGAAACTTACGTGCAAATTAGGGGGGAAATGTCTCCCTAGGTCTTCTTCACCCTTAGGAATAGATACCAACATAAGAGGTAACTACTACATTTCCCATGTAAGCAAAATTCCAAATTAATTGGAAGTTGCCTCAGCAAGACATATGGGATGAAAATGGCTAACAAACATACTAGCCAATTCTTGAGCCACCTTCTTACTATAAACTAAATGTATTTATATATTAGGTATAACATCCTCTGTGTTCCCATCCATCGCCAACTGATCCCATTACTCTGCAGAAGGGAAGAGAGATACAATCAGGGAACAACCAAGAGTGTTAATTTATCTAGAGGCCTGTGAACATCTTGGTTTTGCTTTGAATACCATGGCAGCCTGAAAATTCTACACAGGGCAATAAGAAAGCCAAAGCTGTAGGATAGGAGTACAGAGCATGCAGTCTCAGAATGGGAGAGACAGTCACAGGAGTCCTCAGAAGTATGCTGGTTACGCTGCCATCCCTACCTCCTAAATCACTTCCTCTACCATTCTTGTTCACTTAGAACAACTCAGTCCACTCTGACAGTTTCTAGACCCCAGGAACTCTTGATGCTCATTTCCACTCTGGTCCTGTCTGGGTGGGTTGTCATAGGTGTGCGTGTGTGCATGTGTCCCTGTATTTCCTTCCCCCTCTCTGTCTTCTGCATAGGTAGCACTGGTGTTACTGCCTGCAGAAATTCCCCAGTTCCAAATACATGCAGGCTTTCCTCACTTGTAGGCACAACAGTAATGCAGTAGTTGAAGTGATAGTAGTAACCCCATCACCAACCATCTTGGTGTCCTGAATAATGTCACCATATATGGTTCACTTCATGCCCTCCCCACAGCCAGTCCTATTTCTTCCCACACTTCTTTTCACCAGCATCACACTTACTAACCTGCTTATTCTGCATCTCCAGGCACTTCCCATTCAGCAGTTGCAGGTGAAACAATCTAGATCCTCTTCTTTATCATGGCTCTTCCTCAGCCTTGCCATCCAAG